ACAACTAATCTGTAGAGGATCTGCCTTTTAGACCTTCATCTCAAAGGTGTTTGGGGTCAAGCTTAAGCGTCTGGAGCTCTATACGTCGGAAGGATGTTAGTATGGGTGTGTTTATGTATGCATGGACTTATATTTATTTATGGACTTATATTTATTTTTTCATAACGATATACATTGGCTCTACATGGAAATACTAGATGCAGACATGCATAGAAAGCAGCAGATTCTTTAATTTTAACAGCTAGAAAGACAGCTTCTGTAACCTTTGTAATGAAGTTTACAGTGTATCTTTCTCCTCTAAAGGCTTTAAGGAAGCAAGATGCTAAAGCAGATGAAACAGAAGAACTCATGAAAAACAAACTTGTGAAATACGAAAGTGAAAAAAACCAAGTAAGACTTAATTTTTTCTTTTTTGTTTGGTTTTAAATGAGTGTGTAGTGTCATATGTTACAGTATATGCTTCCTTTTCAGAAAAACCAGCAGGACAAAACTTTCTTTACTCTCTAGGAATACAAGGTTTGGGTTTTTCTCTGCATCAGAGGCACTATGAATATAGCTATGCTAAACTTGTGTCTTTCTTCCAAAGCTCTTTAGTTGTAGTGTTTTACTTCTAATGACTCTTCTATCCTGCTAGGCAGACAGATTTATAGCTCGGGGATTATCCTTGATTTCTTTCTCTGATGTGTCTCTAAATTAATATAGAGTCTCCTGTTGCTTATTTGCAACAGCTCAAAGGTGAATCTTTTCTTCATCTCTGCAACTAACTGATGCTGGTTATTTTGTACCATAGTTATTATTAATTGCTCTTACTGAATATGTTGCCATATTGCTCTCTTCCTGTTCATAGAAAACAAGATTTCTTGTATTTCTGTTCTAGCAGGGTGGTAGGGCTGTTGTTATACCCCTTTATGCTAAACCTTTATGTAGTATTTTATGTTATGTTGCTCTCTTCATGCCCTAAATGCTGGTCTTGTTTACTTTGCCCATTTGCCAACCTCTCAACATCCTCTTTGAGATTGCTATCTCAACAATAACAATTTCTGCTGTCAAAATCTATATTTATTTCCATGTGGGTCTTTGAACTATTTGTGGTAGAACTCAGAAAATATTTTGTAGATTTTGCTTTCTTTTTTTTTTTCTAAATGGTCTTAAGTTTGATGACTATATCTGATTATCACAGTTATAATATTATGTTTTTAGGAAAACTGCTAATTTTATGCAATTCAGGGCACTTCAGTTTTTCAGTCATCTTGTTTCCAGAATAATTCAAATATATCATGTTGTGTAACACAGAAAAACTACAGATTTTACTAATTACCAGTTCTACCAATGCATGTCATCTTTAACACTTCTATGAATAAACTATGTAACAAACGTGACTTCAAATACTAAGTGTTCATTTTTAGTTTAAAAGTTTGTTTCAAGTCCAGAGACAATGTTTTTGAAACTTTGTTAAAATTTGCCTTTCATTATTTTACTTTTAACTCAGTAAAAATTTGCTTTTGTGCTTTTTTTTGTTCTGGATAACACAAATGACTTTGTATCTTCATGTGATACAGAATATTGTGCAAAAATTATGGACTACAAGTTAAATTCTCTTAATGTAATTTAAATGAATATAGTAGGGATTTTGTAGAAATGAAGTTTACTTTAAGATTTTGGACAAATAAAAATATTGTGTATATTATACCTCGCTTAAAAAGATACTTGTATAGATTAATTTGCATCAGAATTAAATAGTTAAAATACCTTTATATGCTATGATGCATATATTGCTTTTCTATCTTCATCATCCTCTGAAATGAAAGCTTGAGCAGGAATTGGAGCAGTCCCGGAAAAAGTTGAATGAATCTGAAGGCAGTAGAGAAGTTCTTTTGCATCAGGTAACTGCTTTGGTGTGGTAAAAATATCAAAGTTTTCGTTATTAGGTTGTATCAGAGTCTTTTTGCTTAATCTTCTTATTTTGTACTCTGCTAACATTGTTTTGTGTGGGGAAAGAAGGAGAGAGAGGTTTAAGTGTCTAAAACATGTGGACTGAGCTCTTGTTATACTTCTTCTGCTTTCCAAAGTTTTATGTATATATGCTCATATATGCTAATTATAGTAGTGGTAGCAATGGTACGTTTCAGTACATAAACACATTATTTGTAACTTCTTTTCATAGTGTGCTTTAGAAAAACTTCTGTATTAGTAATTATTGTTATGCAAAGTGCATGCTGTAATTGGTGAATTCGGATAAATCAATGACTTAGAAGTATTTGCTGTATTGCTGTATTTATAACCCGTGATAAAAATATATAAGCAAATATCTGGAAAACTATCTAAAGCATCCTCTAAACAGTAGCTATTGATGCACATATGATAAAACTTAGAATAGGAAGGGGGCAATTGGTATACTAATCTTTTAGCATTAGTTGTTTGACTTGTGTATCTCGCAGAAGTTTGAGTTGATTGTATTGCTGTTTTCACTTTAACTCAGTGTGCGTGGAATACAGGGTAATATGAATTAGAGGTATTTTTCTTCAATTCAATTTTAGCATATCATACTTTCTTTATTTTCCTGTACATGATGTCTTCTTTGTAACTGCTACCCTGTATATGATAGAAAGAAAAATGTAAAAAGCCTCACTGCATCTTAAGAATAAATACGTTCTATTTTTAAGGAGCACAATTTAAATAAAATATATTGTTTATTAAATTTGTGTAGCTATGTAAAAAGACAACTGTAGCATATACTGTGGTAGCATTTTGTTTGGTTTAGGGAAATCAATGTGCAACTGTGATAAACATAACAAATTAAAATGTTTCCTTTAATTTTGAAAAATCACTTTATGGCCTGTAATTAGGAAGTAGTTTGTCTTTTTTTGTTTAAGATCTGCAGTACTCTCAAGATTTATTTATAAATATTATTTTTGTGTAGTATTATTTCTTTTAGTGCTTAATAAAAATATGTTGTTTGCTCTTTCATTCTGTTTTTTATTAAACCTTTGATACTTGTACCTACATTTTTAGATTGAGGATCTTCGTTCCCAACTTCTGAGAGCAGAAGAAGACCGTGTGGAATTGCAACATCAAATTTCACAAGCTGCTATGCATCGCCAAAGCTACCAGGATGTACAAGATGATGACAGGAGAGTTAGAGCAGGTACAACTCATGTTTCACACTAGAAGTCTATAGTAAGACTGGACATTAACTTTGTCTTAGAATTGCAGTCTAATTCTTCTTTTGTTTCAGCAGAAGCAGTCACTTAATTCCTCAGATTTAAATTAATAAATATTGGCACCTGAATATTAACAGACAAATAGCAATGATGGTTAATTTAGGATAAAATATCTTGTGTTGCATGGTTAAAACAGATGAGGCAATTTCAGCAAACTGGATAGTGTTTTTACAGAAGAAAAGCATTTGTTTTATTTTTAATTAATGATTTTTCAGAAACCTTGCATTTCAGTCCTTTTGTAGTTTGAATTCTGCCATCTTGAAAATCATAGCACAAGTCATTTACTAGGTAGTTTATAAGGCTGAGGACTTTTTGGTAGAATTTCTAAGGAATAACATGTTCCTGAGTGGTTAAGAAAATTTTCCTGTTTGGTGTAGTCAGGGCTTCTGTTTGTAGTATGTTGGAGTTTTAAAGTTGGAATAATTTTATTTAGAAGAAAAATACCTTAAGCAATTTCAAGATATAATTGCACCTTAAATTACCACTTTAGCAACATCTTAACTTAATTGTTAGTTATCTATCTATATGTAAACTTTTGAAACATAATCAAAAAGGCATTAGAGAAAGTCTTTATCTTTCTCCTTATTAGCATGGAAATGCATTACTCATATGCATACAGGAATAGTGACTCCAATTCCAGTGTTTATGGGAATGTTTAATTGGTTTGGCTAATGACTTATTTTTATATATTCATACTTCAGCTACTGAATTATCTTGGTTTTAAAATAGGACTCTGACTCCTTGTTTTACAAATGTTATACAGAGCACTGGAAATTGGTTAGATCGTGTACGTGGCTGAGCTTCAAAAATGTAACACAAAATAATCATTTCAATTGTTTTTCTCCAATCAAGTTAATATTCTACTGAAAAGTCAATTTACTTGAAACAATACGCCTTTCATGTTAATGAGAGCATGTTTCAGTTTTCCCATTAACAATATAATAATAAATCAAGGTGGTTGTAAAAATATGAAGAAAATAAAAATGTACTGGAGCTATTAAGATGTATGCATATATTTATATAATTTTTGCATTTGTGTTTTATCTTATTGTGTTATTTTTGTTTCTTCAAAGATACATGGGAAGAAGACAAATGGAGATATGTTTTTTTTATGCCTCTAGTAGTTGTCTATGAATAAAGGCCTTTGAATTTCTGGTTGAAGGAATTTATAGCTTAGTCTTATCAAAAACTTTGATTTTACTTGTAGGGTTCAGGCATAAAATTCACAGATAATGTGATTTCCAGATCAGGAGGTATTGCTCTGGTGGAGTAAAATCTTGGCCTTGAATCTTATGGCCCAATTTCATTTGCATCACAACTTCCCCCTTTTTTTTTTTTTGTATCCCTTTTTTTTTTTTTTCAATTTTTGGGGGGTTTTGGGTGGTTTTGATTTTGCAGGGGGGGAAAGTGTGTGTGTTTGTGTGTGTGTGTGTGTGTGTGTGTGTGTGTGTGTGTGTGTGTGTGTGTAAGAGTGGAATACCCCTGTAAAATGACTGAAAAATACTGTCTCATTCAGTAAAAGGTTATGATACAGGTATAGCCATTTTTCAGATATTTTGGTCAAAATAAGTAGTTATAGAACAGTCTCAAGTAGAGAAGAAAATTGCCAAAGAGAAATAAGATAAAATTAATTTACCACAAATCAGTGTTTCTACTGACTCTGTTGTTCTGTTCTTGCTGTTTTACAGTAGCTGAAAGATACGAGAGAGAAAAGCAAGACCTGGAGAAACATATTTTGGAACTTAAAGCAAAGCTGAGTCATAATGCTGTAATGTCAGAGGTAGAAGAACTAAAGAGATGCATAGAGCGTAAGGACAAGGAGAAAGCACAGCTTGTAATGCACATACAGGTAAGTTTGGTTTTGTTGCTTTTTGTTTGGTGGTGGTTTGGGTTTTTTTGAAATAATTTTTCATCTGTTTAACATTAGATGATAGATTAGGGATTAATCTTTCAAACTAGAAGTTATTGCCATGGTCTTCTTTATTCTGTAAAAGTCATTTGAGTTTGCAGAGTTTTTTTCTCTTCCATCTTAATACCAAAAAAGGTATTTGCTATTGCCCATGATTTCATGGTTTGGATTACTTGTTTCCTACATGCAAAGAAAAGGTGATCTGATTCTATCAGCAGTTATCGTTAATAATGGGTTTTGGAATTACTTTTATAAGACTTACTTCCTTATTCCCCATTCCATCATGCTTCAGAACTAAAGTTTAACTTCAAAAACTGAGATACCTTGTTGTACAAGATAGTGTAGTAGAGTAACAAAAGGAGGTCTTATTTATGATAAGCAGTACTATTTAACATGATTCTCTGTGAAAAGAATAAAAGCAGCCTTTGGTACTGGAATTTTAGTTAGAAGACTTTTACCACAAAATTAGATCTAAGTAGACAGTAGCCTTTTTTTTTAAGATGGGAGATTTCTGTATTTTTTGATCTTGTCTAGATTTGTCATTGGTAGTAAGGTACCCAAACAGTAACTTCTCTCTCATGACTGTCAGAGAAATGAGGTTGTTTTCATAAATGTGTGTATTATTTCAGTATTCAAGGACTTAACATTTTATTGTGCTTGTATTGGGCATTCTATAAGCAAGGGGATTTGTAATTTGTATTTATTTTTCTAGTGAGGATACTTTGAACTGATGTCATATCACTTTGGAAATTCAAATGTAGGAATTTATTTTTTGGTGTTTTCATAGATTTACAGGACTATACTGTTCAGTTTACTTCTACTACTCTTCTACCTTGTCAAGTCCTGAGGTGATTTGAATGAAACCAGTATATCAAATTATATTTGGAAAAAGTTACAATCTCAAAATAAGTTCCTACATGCTTTATGAAGTTCAGTCATCAAATAGGTTTCAAAAGACCTTGAGTGCTTATATAGAGGGTAAAACAAGCAGAACTCATTTCCTGATGCCCATCAGCATTGGTATTATAGCTGGCCTATAAACTCCAGACTAACCCAAAACATTTTGTTTTTTTGTTTTGTGGGTCCTGAGAAATTCCAGTTGTTTTGGAGGCAGGAATTAACGGGATAAAAACCCACAGAAAACCAATTACTTTAAAATTCTGCTTGTAGAACATGCTTTCTTAAGAGTCAAAATGATTTTCTAATACTAATTTCCTGCTCTGAAAATACCCATGTGAGAGTGCTCAGTCGGGGTCGTTGTCATTGCTCTGAGTTAGAAATCTTTGACTTCCCTCATTTTCTCAGCAGAAAATACTTTGTTCTTCTTATCTGCTTCCCACTGCCTTTCTCCTACAGAGGCAGTAACAGGAAAATAGCTAGTGTGTTTTTCTTTTAATGAGACATCAAGGAGTGCAAGGATGTGAATTTCTAAACTTGTGTTCTAACAAAGCATTTTGTCAAGCCTGTTCTAACAGCTGCTCCTCTTAGATAGTCTGATTCCCAGTTGGAAGTGATCAGTCATGTTTGACTTGAGTGTAAATTATCTTTGTTTAGTGGGGAGGATCTAACTGCTCTTGCCTCTGATGTACATGTGATACTAGAAATTTCTTTTGATTTATTTAAATGTCATTGTTTTCAACGATTTGAGTTGTGTGTTGTTCATTTAGTTCCCAATAGCTGCCATAAAATCACAGTGTGATGTAAAAGGAGAGGATGAAAAGGTTAAAACACATTCTTAAACTCATGTTTAGAAGTGAGCTCAATCTTAAATCAATTTTTAAATTTCATAGATAAATGTTTTATTTCAGTTGTTGTTTATGTGAGCATGCTGCTATGAGATCTTGCAAATCATACAACTATCTTAAATACACTTTTCTTCATGAAACTATATAGATATGGGGCTGTTATGGCTGACTATTATGATCTAATTCTTATGACTAAGAAATAAATGAAGTGCACAAATTATCAAGATGGAATACCTTACTTTCTCCATGAGTGGTTTTAGACTCTTATACCTGGGAAATTGTTTGATTTACTGCCTCTTCGTTCTAATAAGGTCTTAGCAGTCTTATAGTATTGTCAAGTACAACATAACATCAGACAGTCAGTTTGTTAAAATATTTCAAAATTTCTAAGGGAAAATTATTGATATGTTTAGATAATATTAGAATTGTTCAGGAATATAAGTCTTTCAGTCTTATGAATATTGATTTGTATTCTTATTAAAATTCATTTTGTGACTTTCCTTCTACAGATGAAACTGTTAGCCAATTATTGTCATTATTTCAGCCAATTAAAATTTCTGAAAATCAGCGAGTAACGCTTTTCTAAGTTTAAAGAGATTCTTACAAAATAGGAGAAATCAGTAGTTCTGCAGACCAGCCTATATTGCCATGTAAATGTTCAAATACTGAAATTGTGCTGCAGATAGATTTAAAATGTACAGATGCTATTTACTTTGATAAACTTTCTCTCTAAAATCACGTAATCAACTTGGAGGGGGGGAAGATAGTTTTGATGTATCTTGTATTTACATACAATGTTATCTATCAGAAAGATTAGCAGTTCAAGCTTTGGAAAAATACAGAGAAGGCATCACTTAAAGAAATTGATTTTGTGCAACATACTTTTTACTGAATTAATATACTTTTTGACTGATTGAATGTATCTCTTTGATTATTCAATTCACAGAATTTATGCTTGCATGAAAAATCTAAGTCCTCTGGATTAGTGGTTCCTAGTGGTTAGGTACATTATTTTGGGCAAGAGATGCAGATCAGATTGTGATAATAAATTAGTATCTGGGGTCTGTATTTTAGAAATAATTGTTAGAGAATAATTAGGTTCAATAATTAATTGTTGAAAACATTCCCAATGACAGTAGTATGATTCCATAGCATTAGAATCTGGTGGCTGTGCTGCTGAGGAACAAGGCAGAAAAAAGGAATGAGGGAGAAAAAGGCATATAGATCCACTTTAGGTGGCTGATCCAATTAGTGTGGTGGGATGATATGTGACTTTCTATATTCCTACCAGTATAGAATGTTTGCACATAGCTGTGATATGAGGCACTAGTTCTGTAAACTGTAGCAAATGAGTAGTCCTCACTTGCATTTTAAATGTTCACATTTTAAGGAATTTTATACTGAATACTCCATGTGCTGAGTTTTTTATACCTAGGATGAATTTTGTTTTGTAGCTTGTAGTGATTTTAATTTTAAATTGAGTGTCAAAAATACAGGGCAAGAGTATGATATGAGTACTCAAACTAGGGACTAGAAGTCCAAACTGCAGGAGTTTCTGGAATGGTAGTAGTCACATGTTTAGTGCCTGGTAGTGATTAGTTTACACTTCAGATAAATAACTAGTCTATAACTGGAAAAAGTTGTCCTCTTTCTCTGCCTCCAGTTTCTTATGAAAGTTGAAAACTAGATTACTCACTGGGATGTTGGATCTGTAGAAAATGAGATGTGCAACTTTTTACTTGGGGCAAATGTTGCATCTGTTTCTGAGTTTGTTATTCACTTCTGTGTCAACCCTAACCAGAGCCTCTCAATTGAATTATTGTCTGTGGTGGTGTTGTAGTCTGAAGGCTCATACAAACTTTGTAATCGGTTTTGAAAATAATATTTACATTTAGATCTCTGGGGTATTAATATGCTGTACCCCCAGGATTTAGTAGCTAATCTTAATGACATTTTTTAACTGTTCCACAAAAATAATTATCTCTTATAAAAATCTTCAGATATTAAAGCCAGGAGGAGAGTATTTGATGTTATATTGGGGGTGAATGAGTTGACATGAATATTCTAATACCTTCCCTTGGTTTTCTTAGCAGTGGAACTATGAAAATAATATTAATCAGGTTAGAAAAACTGAGACCCAGAATCGTCTTGTGTGAAGACTGAATAGAGATAATATACCAAAATCAAATTTTTTCTGCAGCAGTCACAATGCAAAGTATGCTAACAACTGCTGTATATATACACAATATATTTTACCAGCAAAATGTCCAGAGTATCCTGGGTTGCTTCTGTCAGGAGAACCTCTATCCATACTGTTGTAATGTATGTCACATAATGGGAGCCCCCGGTGGTCTAGGGGAAAAGACACTGCACTGTCACTGCAGGGACCCGGGTTCGATTCCCGGTCGGGGCCCCTCCCCGGGCAGATGGAGCTCGTTAGCCCTGTAAGGCAATCCATCTACATCCTGAGGACCTCGCTGCCACCGTCCAAGCGTGCTTGGCCTCGGCAGATGAACCTCAGGATTAAAGGGTGGGCTCAGTTCCGCGCACACTGTGTCTCACCTAAAAAATCCAATGCGCAGGCTGGAAGGTGGAAAGACCTTCCCCGGTTCTTCGTTCGCGAAGAGACTGGCCATGTCACATAATATTGTTATACTTCTGTTGTATCTAGAGAAGCTCACTGAGTTCTCTATATGACTAACCTTGAGCCACAGGAGACACTGAATACTCCTTGGAGTCCCAAGTGTTTAATCTATAAGGACAGCATTTGTCATCTGTATAGAATTTTTTTGGAATCACAGGTGCTTAGTAATTTGCCACGTGGAAGAGAAACTCAAATGTTCAAGGAATGTAGTTTTTCTCTTTTTTTCTAATGGGTGCAATCTACTGAAATTGCTTGTCCTTTCTCTTAGGTTATCTCAGTTTTGTTAACTATAGTAACAATTGAGAAAGAGAAAATTGGATCAATATTAAAACAAACAAACAAAAGGCTCCAACAAACAACTCCAAAACACCCTATATCTCTGTATTCTTGTCTTGTAGAAATTCTTAAAATATTTACATTCTGAATTGCTTAGAAGGGTAATTCCAAGATAGGAGTGTGAAAATTAAGTTATATTCTGCAGGGTCTAAAGTAAGCATCACTGCCAAATTCTCCTGCCATAGTAAAAGCGCAGCCTGCAGGGCTCAGGGCACAGCTCTACTGAGGGGAACCACCGTCAATATGTGCACAGACCTGATTGTGACACTGAGCTCATTGTCCAAACTTCAGTAATACAGAACTGAAAGGGATATCTTCAGATTCATTCCACTGGACATAGGCCTGCTCGCAACTTTAAGCACAAAGTTTAAAAATGTTCTCAAAACAAAGATGGAGACTGAGATCTTTGATAATTCCAATTTCTTTAGCACTGACACAGCTCTAGGCACTGTAAATCTACTGAGACCTGAGAGCTGGATTAAGGTGGTAAGGACTGATGTTTCTCGTTGACCAGTTCCTTCAAATCCCACAGCTCTGGAGGCTGAGAGCAAGCTTACATTTGTTGTGATAGGTTTTTAATTTATTTGTCATTTAGTGCTATGTACTTTCTCTTCTCCTTGCTATGACATCCTAATGAAGGGCAGCTCCTTTCTGACAGGTAACACAGTATTTCACCCTTAATGCAACCTCCCAAACAACCCAACAAAGAAAAAAAAGAAAACCCTGTGGGGCAGCATTTGATTTTAATACCACAGTGAGTTCCTCACAGTCCCTGACCCAGTGTCTATCTGAGTTTCATCCTGTGCTGAACTTGTATTCAGTACTGCTCTGGCCACGGCTGCAATGGAATGTGCATACAAACAGCTTGGCAAAAGAAGCAGTCTAGCTATGTGTCTTACAGTAATGATAACATTTTATGATGTCTTGTCTGCATGCATTTTTATTTCACTTTACAACTGAGAATCTGAGTTGCTGAAAGGAAAATGAGGACTAAAAGGTTGAAGGGAAACTGAGAATTTGAACTCTGGCAGATGTCTGTATACAAATGATATAACACATGATGGGGAAACAGAGTTACCTACTTACTCCAGGTGTTATTCCAAAATTCAAGACTGACCATATATGCGTCCATAGTAGGATGCAGATATAAGCATTTTGTGCAAGATACTTTGTTATTTTAAGAGAAAATGGGTACCTTTCTAGACTGAAGGTCTTAACAAACTTAAAAGAGTCAGCACATAGCATTTACTTCTTTAAAATTTTATATATTAAATCTAATGTTTTTTGAAAATACACTAAAATTGAAAATGATACTATGCATTAGCTTAATTAACAGGGTTTTTTTAGTTGTAAAGATTGTTTAGAAAGAAATTAAAAGCTGAAGTTTATAAGGTCATCATTATGAAATGAAACTGCAATGTCATACTTTCACAGCACACCACTGCCAAGTATAATGTCCCAATCACAACAGCAATTTCCTTAACTATTTCTTACTAACAAATCAATCTTAATTCTCATAAGGTCAAAATTAGGGACTAAAAATATATAGTATGCTTAATGGAGTTTTATGTGTTGTATTAACTACTTACTGATTGCTGATAATACAATTCCACAAAATCCAGTAATCAGTCATTTTCTGAGTAGTGTTTGTCTGAAAGGGATATCATATTTAGCAAGGTATGGTCTACTGACCCAATCGTTAAATGAAAAGAATGTGCTTTAAAATGATTCTAATGATTTTCATTGTTGTAAAGGGTTGCTTCAAATCAACCACAAGGTTGATTTGCAGGCAGGTAATGACAAATAGTGAGGCAATCACTTGTCTATAACTGTTCTGTTAGAAATGTTACTTTGAAAACTGTAAACAATCAGTTATCCTGCTTTTTTTTGGCCTTTTTTTTTTCTTTCTTTTCACAACGTGCCTAGAAACTGGGATTGTGTGTTGAGGCATGACCATAATCTCTGGGTTTTGTAGACACCTAAACTCTGTACATAGACAGTAAGTTTGAAGTATGCTCTTAAAGATAAGAATGTGGAGGCCCTCTGTTTCTCTATCCTCTTGCTTTGCAGAGAAGGCTGCATGAAATTTTGACTTGCTACGCTGCTGATTTCAACTGTTGGGTCTGTGCTGGCTTGACTTTTCTAAGGAAAGTGCAAACTATTTGCTAAGATCAATTGTATTTACACATATTGTAAAAATAAAACAGTAAAACATTTATATTGGTACATCTGTGTCAAAGTTAATTTTTCCTCCTTATGCAAGTAGCTCATATTGATAAATTAGTTGTGCTTCACAGTAAATAACTAAAACAAATGTTCCTCTTTTTTTATTATACTGTAAATCAATAAATTGGAGATTGATGTGCTTCTACAAAATGACATGAATGTTTACAGTTAATTGAACATTGTTTTCTGTGTTTAAGCTTAGATTCATTTCAGTAAACAGTCTGCGGGGGCTGTACTTCTACTAATGAACTGTATTCTCTGAGGAAATGATATATAAATAACTATTTTTTAATGATGCAGAACTGAGCAGTACATCAGTTTAGACTGATATCCTCTATGGTGCCTCCAGAAAGACATGAAATGGGAAGTGATAATGTTATTTATAATCATGATTGAAGAAATGATGCCCCATTTTAGAAAATCTGTGGAAGGGTAAATGTAATATCTGACTGTATTTTATCAGGCTGTTTCTAACTTCTACTACACCTAATTTACATCTTTATCTTTAAAGAAGTATTATAATCTCTATTTTCATTGGAAATTAAGGTTGTTTTTTTTGGTTAATTGTTTTGTCTTATGAATCAAGATTTTTTACAAGGTTAGACCTGGTAATTTTGCCTGATGAGCTCAAAAATGCAGTTTAAATAACGATGAAGCAGAATACACGTGGGTTTTTTCTAATGTATAGAACTGTAAATCTAAAGAGTCTTTCCTCTTTTATTTTACCACCTGTGTAACATTTACTCCCAACTATTCCATAAATGTTTACCTATTGTTTTGTTTACCTATCTGTATCTAAGTTGTGTCTTAGAGTAGGAATGTTCCTTTAGATAAGCAAGTGATTGTCCAGTGGATAATCCTACTTCTGCTTTGCATCATGGGTACAGGTAGCAAGATGGATGAATTGTTCTTGGTTGTAACATCAGTCCCTTCCTGTCTGTATTTTCTGACCACAATCTGTCACATGGAAGAGTGCACGTGGAGTTGTCTTTTCAGCATAGCAAATACCATCCTGAAGAGATTGGTGCAATTTACTGCCTCTCAGGAGGTGATGGCCTGGCTTGGAAATAAATACAAACCCAACCAAGTAATCAAGAGTGAGCCCCAACCAACAAAGCCAAGTTGCCCTTCCTTCCCCAACCTCGTGGAAGGATCTTTGTCTAGATAGTTATTCTCTATGCATCTGTAAAGTTGCTTATTCTTTTCTAGGCAAAGTACTTTTCCCTTGTCCATTCTGAGTTGCAACCTGTTTATTTTAGTCTGCATCTGCAATTTTATTCAGTCATTCTGAAATCTAAACCTCTTCTCTAAAGTATTCAGTCTCTTGAAGCTTGATAATATTTTCCACAACAGATCAGGTCCATCAAATTCATCTGTGTCATTAATGAAAATACTGAATGGTATGAAAGCAGTCTAAATAAGCTCAAAATACAGAATACCAATATGAATTTCTGCATGATGATCTTACTACAGTACAGTTTTACTAGTGTAGCTTCAATAGCTGATTTCTGAAAATGTCCTTGCAGAAGGTTTATGAAGAATATTTTCCCTGAGTTAATTATGAGTCTTGAGAAATGTGATTTGAGAAAGACTTCACTTGTTATTTTTAAAATGAATAGCAAACATTTTTGCACTTTGTTCTAGAAACACCTACCAAGCATCTGGATTCTCTTTATATTCAGTGCTTTTGAGTACACCCTTATTCAGCACGTTGCTTTCATAAAAGCAACCAGCATAAAACTGGGTAACAACTAGCTCATATACCATGGGTTACTTTGGGTGTGATGAATCCTATTGTTTCCTTGCCAATTTTCTTTTATCCTCTTGTCTGTTTACGTTCATCTCCTTATATTTTAATCTTTGGTTTATTTCTTATTTGTGTATTGTGTAACATATGGCCAATGACTCCATCTAAAACCTATAATACAGAAAAATAACAAAAAAAACAGAAGAAGAACAAATGCAGGAAGGACAGAGTAATTATGTATTTTACTTTGTCTTGAAATTCTTCACTGTTGCAGAGGGGGAGATTCTCTGGGCTAATTGGGCTTTCCTTGATAGTCAAGCAGATCTTTTATGCTATTCATATTTTAGATAGAAATGTGATTTAACGTTGCTGTATGTTGTTTGATAAGGTTTCATACTGCATATCTTTGGAGTAAGAATGTTCGTATTTTTTATGTTGATTCCAGGTGTTAACATCTGACCTGGAAAACAGGGAGAAGCAGCAGGAAAAAATGCTGGAACAACTGAAGGAGATACAGAATTGCTACAAGGCTTGTGAAAATAGATGTAGACAAACTGAACTCCAGTCTTCTGAGTTAGCTCAACAAGTTGAAGAAAGCACCAAAGAAGCAGAACGGTGTCTCACTGAATTCAAGCACTCAGAGGCACTCAGGCTGGAGACTGAGAAAAAAAGAGAAGATTTGAAGGTGAGAGCACAGGAAGCCATCCGCCAGTGGAAGCTGAAATGTAAGAAACTGAGTCGTGAGATGGAAAAACAAAATGAAACTATCAATGACCTGATGGAAAAGAATAGTCAGGTAAGATTGGTTGATTTTTTGGGTTTTTTTTGTACCCTTTCCATTTGTTTTAGAAATGAAGTTAAGGAGTTTATTTATGCAAACTGTGAGTTAAACTGCTTTCTGCCTGGAGTTCTGGACCAAATTTTTTGGTAAACTGGAAGACAACTAATAGATGGCAATATTTTTTAGCTATTATGGAATTCCACATTCTCTTCTTTTTCTGGTATTTATTCCAGTCTCTTCACTTAATCAAAGATTTCTTCTTGTAAAGAAGAAAATTTCTCTATGAATGCTGCTCTTACTTTTTCTTTTTGGGTATTGATTAACATAGGTTAGCTTATTTTTTAGTTAATTTTTGAGGACATAATGTGATGTTATTTTTTTAAAAAACTTGGAATCCTACTATGTAATGATCCTCATTCAATTTATGCTTTATCTCATGTTATGAACAGTGGTAAGATCTTTGAAAGAAGGTGTTGACTTTCACCATGTGTGTCAGATTGCTAACAGACCTTAATGCTGTGTGACCTTTGGCACAACTAGAGCACTTTTAGTTCTTTTCTGTATTTAAGCTCTGCTCAGACTCTAGGCTTAGTAACGACATCTTTTATTGCCAGTAAAGACTACAGGTTCTGAAATATTATAAGGACTGCAACTCAGTTTGAATTTTATATTTGAAGACAGAAAAGTAGATTTTTTTTTGTTTGAGAAAGTGCAGAGATTTTTTAGCAAAATGGAGATTTTAGCCAAAAAAGGCACCTAACCTGCATTTGGGATGAGCATGCTAACACCTACCATGCAGTTCCAAGGTTTTTCCATTGATCTGGTTAGAGGCTCTGTTCCTTATATTTTTGTAACTTTTTTTTTCCTCTCTTCATGTGTATTAGGTTTCAACCTCTTTATTTTTCAGAACTTGTTATTTGAAAAGTCATCCTGTTAAAATTGATCTTGTCACATTTCTGAGCCTTTAATTTGCCGTTGTTCAGTATGGTAAACCACTTATTCATCTCTTTTTCCTCCTATAAAGTTTCTCATGAAAATAATATGTGTGGGGGTTTTTTTGTTTGTTTTTGACTTAGAGGAATTCCTTGATTTGTTCAGCTCCTGACACTGCTTTAAAGACAAGCACTCACATCAATGCTAATGCTGATCATTCTGTCTTGGAATAGTAGCAGAAACCATCATTCTGTTGGCAATGAGTCTGTGAGTCTTGTATTTTCCAGTGGCTGGGTCAAAAGTTTGCTCCTATAGTGGCTAGTACAGTGCTAAGCTCCATGATGTGAGCTTTTATCTTAACTCACATGCTCTGCTGGTGCAGTTTATCATATTGTATGGCTTTTGTTTTTATAGCACTTCCCTCACCTCTTTTCATGTATTTTCTCATGGCATTCATACAATTTATTTTACTAAATCTGATGGGCTCGAGATGTCTTCATCCTCTGCTTTGTCCTGCTCCAAGATTGATGTTTTCAAGTGCAGTATTGGATATCTGTATTATTCCTCTGTTGTTTCTGATCCAGTAACCTATTTGGAGGCTTGTACATGAATGTACAAGCATGGTCAAAGCATAGGAGAAGCCACAATGGGGCTAGTATTGAGTTGAAATTAATAAACTCTAGCAGATCTAAACTGTGATTCCTGAGGTTGCTATTTGTCTCCTGGATTGCCTATCATATTCCTTACTTTTTATTATTATTTACTCTGTTGATGCTTCAACAATTCATTCCATAGTAATCTTGTTGTATTTGTTGGCCTGAACGCTTGTTTGGGTAAATAAGGTTTGCAAACATTTAAGAAGCTGGTCATCTCTTGCCTAGGAAAATGGAGGTTTGAAGGAAAGGAAGAAAACATGAACCATTTAGAAATCATATGTGTCTATCAAATGGAAAAATAAGAGACAAAAAATAGAAGCAAGTTATGAATAAGTAGCAGTAGATCTCCAAAAGGTTCTGAAATCACTGTTCATGTAAATGCATAGACAGGTCTTTGTGGTGGCACTTGATAGTGCTGTCCATATTGAAATTTCCTTTGTTACATAAGACTCCTTGACGTGAAGTTTACCACTTCTTATATAACAAATGCATTCAAATGCTAAATGCAGTCACTTTGTTTTAAACTCCATTTAAGAAATGCTGTCTGTATTAGTTCTTATTTTTAAAGTCATCACCATTTTGCCAACAAATTTGAGGTAACTGTCACTGGTGAATAAAGTTTCTTTATTTGAGGATATGTAATGTAAAATGAACTGTGTGCCATTGTGGAGGTTACAAACAATATTTCATGTTCTCATTACAAATCTGTAAACAGTTTCCATATGAGGATATAATCAATCTAGGTGCAGCATTTATTATACGCTTCAGGGAACTAGATGAACATAATTTAGGGAGCTTTGAAATATACAGACAACTAGCAGCCGAGATAACATTCTGTAAAAATAAGTAATAAAGAAAAAGAAGAAATGGCAGTCTGTCGTCTTTGATTTCTATAAGAGGAGTCCAAAGGGTTGATGGCAAATTTTCAAAGTTGAGTTGCAATCATAGCTTGCAATTTTATGAGATATTCAAAATATTTGCAGACAGTGGGTGGGCTATAGAAAGATGGGTTAGGTTTCATTCTTTTGGGGTTACTGGGATAATTTGGATAAAGTTTTGCCCATGTGATTGGCCTTGATATTGGTTGACAGTGGAGTTTCTAACATCTTGTGTCTTTTGGAAGGTACTTTCTTTTAAGTATGGAATGTAGAAAACATACTTACACTCAAAGCAAGTTACTTACAGGTTTTTATTTTGAAATGTTACTGGGTTTTGTTTTTGTTTGTTTTTGTTGTGGTTTTTTTGTAGCCAAATCTTTCAATTAGAATTACAGTTTTAGGATGGTCTTTTTGTCTGGTTGGTTTTTTTTCAAAAAAAATAGCATGATGGTCATGATCCCATGTCCTCAATTTATTATTTTTGCATTTTGCTGTGCATTTCTTATTTTTGATGTGATTGAGAATTGTTTTATTATTTTTAACCTTCACACTTTTAACCTGAATTGCCTTTTTATTCTTGATTATTTAAAGTAATTTTGCTATATCCATAAGAAATGGGCAATGATTGTAGATTTAGTGGAAACACTTAGTAAAATTCAGTATAGAATTTATTAGACCAGTTTAAATAATCCAGTTGTTTGTGATGTATCGGAACAGAATGCCCAAACAGGTTGCAGGGTTGCTCTCACTGGAGAAATTCAAGAACTGTCTGGACTCAATCCTGTACAATGTGCTCTAGGATGACCCTGCTTGAGCAGGGAGGTTGGACCAGATGACCCGCCGTGGTCCCTTCCAACCTTACCCATTCCGTGATTCTGTGGTATTTGTAACATAAAATATATCAGTGTTGGAAAGAACACCCAAACCCTTAAGCTCCTTAGGAAAACAGTAGGATTTTTATTACATTTGACTGATTTTTATTTTGGAGATGACAGCTTCATTTCTTGGCTTTGATGCATGAGTGAACCAAGCTTTAACTGCTATTAATTAATCTACTGATTAATTCATCAACTGTAGTTTAAAAAATAAGTTAAATTTGGTATACTTCATATGTAATATTTTAGAAAGTAAACAAAATAAATCAGCATATGGAATGGACCTATACGTAAGATGTATGTGTCCAATAGTCCTTCCTGTATTCTGCTGTGTTACTGTAATACCTCATTTCCTCCATCTTGATAATTAGAGGAATCAGTAAAGAAACTCTTCTTAGTCTGCAAAGAGAGAGTGTGAGAAGCAGGGAATTACCAAAACTATCCCTACTTACAAGGCTAGATAATTTAAACACAAGTACAAGTTTGAGATCACACATGTCCTGTGTCTAAATTTAAAGAAACGCTGAATACATTTGAACTAAGTTCATAGCAAGCAAAATTTTGTATTTTCACAGAACAAAGTATGTTAATTGTTCTTCAGACATTCCTAGTGTCTAATTATTCCTTAGATATTCCTAATGTCTAAGGGCTTGTGTCCAGCAATTATCTTTAATGACTTTAGTTCACAATGGTTTTCTTTTTCTTATTTCCTAGGCCCTCAAAGAAAAGGATGATCTCAGAAGTCAGCTTCTCTCAGCTATACACCAAATAGAAAACCTCCGGAAAGAGCTTAATGATGTGCTTACAAAGAGAGCCCAGCAGGAAGAACTCCTCCATTGTAAAGAGGTAAAGCTGAATGAAATGAAGTCACATGAAGTATCTCTTGAAGAAGAGATCAAAGAAGTTCAAGGTACTGTAAAAAAATTGGAGAATGAGTTGAAAAAGCAAGTCTTTCTACAAAATCAAATGCAAGCTGAGAAGGAACACTTGAAGACGGAACTTGCGACTATTAACTTGATCCATAAAAAAGACCAAGAACGACTCTTAGAAATGCAAGCAGATGTAAAAAATTTAAGCTCTGTACGTGTGGAACTAACAAACAAAATAGCAGAAGAGGAGAAAGTCAAAAAGGAATTACTTAAGAGCCTCTCAGATCTCCAGAAACAGCAGGAATCTAAGCATGAAGAGGTGACTTCCGTTAACAGGCAGCTGAAGATGGAAAGAGAAGTTCACCAACAGGAATTGGCAGATCTTAGATCAGAGTTACAAAATGTCAAAATCAAACATGAACAAAGTATTCAAGAACTCATGAAACTCCTTAAACAAGAAAAGGAGGATGCAGAGGCTCAAATTAGAATGCTAAAGGTACTTATTGCCCCCCACCTTCATACACACCCACATACCCCTACCAATGAATGATGAAGATAATAAAATATGGGCTTTAAAGCACTTAACACACATTTTATTTCAGGCCATCATAAAAGCTTAAAGTTCAGGGTAAAAAACATTACAGTATCAGTTTTAGGTCAAAATCTTAGGTCAACAGTAGTGAAATAGTCTGTGATCACAATAGAAGGAAATATATGAGGCTGTGATGTTTTAATATGGCAGTCAGGTGAAGTGTCAGGTGACTGAGAAAAAAGGGAAACGTACCCATTTTTAGAAAGGATAGAAAGGAGGACCCTGTCACTCTCACCTCTGTGTCTGGGAAAATCATGGAACAGGTCCTTCTAGAATCTATGCACATGGAAGATAGAGTCATGATTTGGGACAGCCAGCATGGTTTCACCAAGGGCAATTCCTGCCTGACCAACCCCGTGGCCTTCTATGATTGAGTGACTTCGTCAGTGCACAGGGGAAGGGCTGCAGATGTCATTTATCTGGACTTCTGTAAAGCCTTTGACATGGTCCCCCAATTCTAAGGCTCGATAAGCATGCAGGTAACCCCAGGCACCAGTTTTAAAGAAAATTTATATTTACATTCGAACACTGCAGTACAGCTGGCTGACAAGGCAAAGGTGGAAACCTGTTTTGGTGCTTTTATAACAACACCTTTTGCATGTACAATAAAAGCCCAGGCTGAATTCTTCTCCTGGGCTTTATGGCCAGCCTGGCAAGCCTGCAGGGGCCTCCAGGCATGTCTGTGAGAATTTTATCACTTGTAGCAAGGGAATTACCTTTTAGCAGACAAATAACGAGAACATCATAGCACCTACCTGAGGATGAATTCCTTCCCACATAAAAGCTTTTCTCTGGGAGCAGAAGTTTCCTTGAATGTGTGCTAAGCTCTCCCTCCTTGATTTTTCTTCCAAAGGTCTTCTACACCTACAAACACATCCTTCTCTCTAAATTGGAGAGAGATGGATTCAGTGGGTGGACTGTTGGATGGATAAAGAATTGGCTGAATGGTTGCATCCAGAGAGCAGTGGTCAGTGGCTCAGAGTCCCAACTGACATCAGTGACAAGTGGTGTCTTGTCTGTATTTGGACCAGTGCTATTAAATATCTTTATTAATGACATAGGCGAAGGAACCAAATGCATCCTCAATAAATTTGCATATGTCACCAAGCTGAGTGGTGAAGGATGGGATACAATCCAGAGGGACCTGAACAAGCTCAAAATGTGGGCCCATGGGAACCTCCTGAGGTTTAACAAGACCAAGTGCAAGGTGCAGCACCTGGTCAGGGCAGCCCCTGGTATCAATACAGGCTGGGGGATGAACAGATCAAGAGCAGCACTCCTGAGAAGGACTTGGGGGTGTTGGTGGGTGAGAGGCTGGACATGACCCAGCAATGTGTACTTGCAGCCCAGAAAGCCGATTGTGTCCTGTGCTGCATCAAAAGTAGTGTAGCAAGCAGGCCAAGGGGGTGACTGCCCCTCTACTGTGCTCTTGTAAGATCCCACTTGGAGTGCTGCATACACCTGTGGGTGCCTGGCACAGGAGGGGCAAGGACTTATTGGCACAAGTCCAGAGGAGGGTCACCAACTTCATTAGAGGGGTGGAGCACCTCTCTTGTTATGAAGTCTGATAGAATTGGGCCTAGGAAAGAGAAAGCTTTGGCGTGCCCTAATTGCAGCCTTCCAGTACCTGAAATGAGCCACAAGAAAGATGGAGAGGCACTTTTTACAAGGGCATGTAGTGAAAGGACAAGGGAAAATGGCTTCAAACTGAAAGAGAGTAGGTTTAGATTAGATATTAGGAAAAAATTCTTTAGTGGGACTCTGTTGAGGCACTGGAACAGGTAACCCAGAGAAGTTTTGGATGCTCTATCCCTGGAAGTGTTCAAGGCCAGGTTGGATGGAGCTCTGAGCAATATGGTCTATGGAAGGTGTCCCTGCCCACGGTAGGGGATTTGGAAGTAGATGATTGTTAATGTCCCTTTCAACCCCATTCTATGATTCTATGATGTTTAAATTGCATGATGCAGAAATACTGTCATTATATCTGGAAATACTTTCAGAATGTGAATAGTAATGACATGTAACACTTGTTAAGTTTAATTTTAATAGTTCTTTCTATTTCAAAAAGTTTTACAATTACCTGTATCTGTACAATTTCTCAGAGAAGTGTTTTTATAGTAAATGACGAAATATAGCATTTTATTAATGAAGAAGCAAACTAATGTCTTTAGTTTGTATCATTTGCTTCTGATATAAAGCTATTGCTTTGGAAAGAAAACAAGCATTTTAGTGGCTTTAAGTGCTCTGAATAAAATTGAAAAGTTAAGTTGAAGTGTTCTAAACTGCGCAGTTTACTGTCAACAGCTGTGTAAGTTATACATGGCACTTCTATTGAAGCAGTTTTGATTACATGGTTAAATATATATATAGATATTTATAATAATAGTATTAAATTTTATAGTTATTTTAATGGAGGTGTTTGTTTTCCAGGTAAGTTGTAAATTACCAGCATATCATGAGTGCACTTCTGAAGAACTGTAAACATAATTTTCACCTTAGTCCCATTAAATTACAAATTTGCTAATGTCAAAATTCTATCAATTAAACCATAAAAAAACTATAAAATCCTTAGTCAAAGCTTAAGTAATTCATGATCTACTTCATCATAAGTAATGCAAGCATTTTTTTCCTTTATATTCTCACAAATACACTTGTTAAAAATGCAACTTTTCTACATATTTTGCAGTTCTGAATTGACATAACTTAGAAAGGATATTTAGTTATTTAATATAACATTCATGACATGTTATATTAAGAATTGACAATAATTCTTAAGCAGTTGGTAATAAAGAAACCATTGAATTAAGATAGCAATAAAAAGAAAACTAGATGATTGTCAGTGGAAAGATCATTAAAACCAAATATTTTGATAACAGTGTTTAAAATAGATGACTTAATTTTTCATATGTAGAGTGTTATTTAAATGATCTGTTGAAATATGTGTTTTGTCTTTGACAATGACTCTGAAATTAAGAGGGTACATTTGACAGGGGAGAGAGGAAAGTGTATTTTGGGTGCTAGAAAAAAAATGGGTTGATTGTGACTGTTCTTCTATGAAATGGCAAATCTTACAGTGAGGACCTTGATATTTTACTGATTGTTGAACCTAAACAGAATATGAAAAAAATTAACTTCCTTATTTCATTTACAGTGCCATGACTTTCCCAGAATCCTAAATCTACATTTATTTTTTTAAGAGCAGAGGGTTTGAGAGAGGTGAATTTTCTAACATGTTAGGGTAGGCAACTTCTTTTGAAGTATACAAAATGATAATGCACAAGATTCTCTTGATTGAGAGAATCAAGACTGTAAGTAAAACAACAAAAAAATTATATCCATCTGTAGGAAGATCTAATGAGAACATATCCTGCAGGTGATTTGGTTACTTTTTGTCTGAACTCATCATTACATGGCAATTGTATTTCAATTTTATGGACATACTTTTCTTCGAAATAAGGGTAGACTTAAATGCATTTTTTCTTTCTTTTTTCTATGTATTTAAATGTTGTGGAGTTAGGGTAGAGTTTAGGGAAATCCAGCAGGTTGCGTTTTTTTTAACCTATTATCCTGTGGGTTTTTTAAGGCTGGTGTAAGTTTTTGTGCCCAGCAGCCAATTGTCTTTTACAGTAATAATCTTGTCCTTATGCCTCAGCCTCATCCAACCTTTGTAACTTTTTTTGGAAAGGAATATACATTACCTTATACAAAGATAGTTCAAGCTTTAAAAAAAAGGGTCAGTTGGGAGAGACTTGAGGAGTAAATAGAAATGTAAAATATTTGTAGGACTCAAAGCCTTAAACTTAAAGAGGATGCATTTATGAGTTACTTTCAGGAAATCAAAGTATAGAACCCTATGTTTAGAGGACTAACTGCTGCATAGGTTGTAAAAAGAGGTGACTTTTGATCCTTACTGTTCTTCCCTCTCTTGTCTCCTCTGGATTCTGCCTCACTTTTACTTGGTTTTCTGTAGTGCTGCACTGGATTGAAAAAATTATAGTTAGTTAAGTACTTTTTGGGGTAGTAGAGAAGGTACCATAAGAATAATATATGATGCAATAGAACTGGAGAAGAACATAGAATTTTGTGTGAGATGTCAGTGTTGAAAAGGATCTTACTGTTTCATTACTGAGGTTCTGGTACTTTAGCTTTTAATTCTGTTTCTACTAGAACATCCTAAATGATTTTCAACCAATGCCTCTATGATGTCTTATTTATTTTTTAAAATGATAGGTAAACTAGACATAGTGAAGTGGTTTGCTTAGTGGTCCTGAATCTATCTCCTAATTTTACAACATATGCTTTAAAAATACCCTTGTTTTCTTAGAATGATGACATGTAAAATATTTTAATGCCTGACTGTATTAAGTATCTGAGGTATTAATTTTTAAGGTTATATAGAGATGCGTACCTATACTTAATAAAATTCTGTATATGTATTTCTTTTTGAATTGTTTTCCATACATTTTCTAAGTGTGTAGTTTTAATTTTCCTGAAGATTATCAGATGTGGAAATTGGATTCAATAAAGGTCAGTTAAATTATGGTCACATCCACCTTGTTTATACTGAAAATTACTAAAATTTAACTTTGTCCATTGTGTCTCAGAGATAATACAAGTGAGGAATTTTGTTCTTGGATTGTCTCCATCTGCATTGAAAAGTTGATTTTGTAAGCATATTCACAGAAAATATTTTGGGCACTGCAGGCTTGTCTTTGTGGCCATAAGTCTTTACAGACCTTGAATGTCAAAGTTCTTTCTTGAATTTTCCTTAGGAAGAGTTTTTGTACTCTGTTAGCTTCAGCATCTAAATTAACTCATAAAGCCTCTCTCCTTACCCTTCTTCCTCAGAGGAGTTCTGTTTATAGTGTAATTGGGAAATGGAATTTTTGCTTTTCCTCGGAAAGGAAATTATTTCCCAGGTTTGTTAGTGTGTGTAACTGCATCCCACAACTCATCTAATATGAAATTAGCTTTGAGTAATATGCATGTTAATTTGCTTCTTTGTTTTGTGGTGGGGGATTTTTTTGTAGTGTTTTTCTTTTTACTTCAATTTATTTTCTAGATATTCTAGACAATTTCTCAAGCCTGTCATTTTCAGTCAGTTATCTTTTGTACTGGAAACAAATATACTTTATTCACTCACTCTTAGGGCTTACAAGGTCCTTAAATGTTTTCTTTATTTTTCTCTGCTGTTTTTTAATGAATAGCATTAAACCTGCACAAAAATAGCATTAAACCAACACAATTTTAGAAATGAAAAATACTAAATCTTCACAGTTGTTTCCTTGCAGATATAAATTTAGTATTAGTTCCTGAAATAAAATGATGGTTTTAGACTTTCTGACTCCAAAGTATTTCCGTAATGGAAAAGTTGCATAAATACTAGGCTTGTCAAGGTGATGTAAGCTGATGAGTGTAGCAGAGTTGAAATGCAGAATCTGAGACTTCTGTTTACTGCTTTTAAGACACTATATGGTTTTACAACTCTATGATACATATTTTCCATGTTCAGATAAGTGTTTGCACTTAATGTAACTTAAATGTAAAAAATTAAATTGAGTTATCATTCAGTAATAGTCTTCCACTGATTTAAAACTTTAGAATCTGGGTGTGTTTTAAAGATAACCCATAGAGTGTCTTTGTAATCTGTTTTCCCTTTACTATCAGATGGAACTTTTGGAAGAGAAAAACATAGTCAAGACTCAGTGTCGACAACTGGAGAAGATAAAAGTTGAGTGTGATAAATTGACAGAAGAATTAACCCAAAATGAAGAAGAAAATATAAAACTAAAACGGAAATGTGAGTTTGTAAAGCAAGAACTGGAGAAAAAGGTGAAGTTAACTGGTTTTAACCTTTGGTCTCTCTGCTGATAAATACCTAAAATAAGCGATGGATTATAGAAATAGATGGTAAATTTAAATTTTAAAAAATACATGTATGTATTAAAGAATATACCCAGTCAAAGTGTAGTACACAATTTCAGTATAAGTGAAAGAAGACAAAACTGCTTTGGCTGGGTTATGAACTGTATCCTCCAAAGATTCACTAATACTATTTAGGACTTGAAATATAAATCCTGTTCCTGCCTGATCTCTGATATAGGTAACTAACAAATGTTTAACCAACCACTTCTTGTTTTCTTCACTTTTTCTTAAAGATGCAGTGCAGTTATAATTAATTTAGAGCTAATTTGAAGTAAGTAAGCAATGGAACCACAGTAAAAGAAATTTTAATGTTGGAGTGGAGGATTTTTGGTTTTTTGAAGTATGGAGATAGGAAAATCTTAAACCTGGTATTTCTTTAGCTTATTAAACTAATAGGAAGTGGTTTAAAAGCTCAACTTATCAGACTAATAAAAAAAAGTACCTCAAATGAAAATTCAAAATATGTTTTTTCTAGGTTGGCATTCTAGTGCTAGAATATCTGTTATTCAGGAAATATGTTTGTAAGAGCGTACATAGACTTCTGTAGTCAGTTGTGAACTAGCTCCAACCTTACCTAATGTTGGGAAGATACAGTTTTTAGACAAAGTTTTTACCTCTGAGTTGAAAAATTGAAAAAGAATGGAGTAGCTTTTGAGCACACAATCCTATTATCTCATCCTTTGAAGGTAAATGCAGATGGAGAGTTCTACTTGATTACATCAATTGGTTAACTTAAGAAAATATTTACTGTTGTGGTTTTCTTTCTGGTATTTTTGTATTAATTAAATGAAAAAATCGAACTGCTTATCAGGTATATGTTTTTCACTTTTGTAGGTCACCTATATTAAAAACACTTATTTTGCCAGTAGAAGTAACACCTACACATAAATATGTATATACAGCCTCCTGAAAGGAGGTAGCAAGGAGGGTATTGGTCTCTTCTCCCAAGTACCAAGTGATAGGACAAGAGGAAATAGCCTCAAGATGTGCCAGAGGAGGTTTAGATTGGACATTAGGAAAAATTTATTCACACATTGGAGGAGGATTCCCAGGGAAGTGGTTGCGTCACCAAACCTGGAGGTATTTAAAAGATGTAGATGTGATACTCAGCGGTGGTTGACTTGGCAATGCAGCGTTTGCAGTGAACTAAATGAGCTTAGAGTTCTTTTCCAACCTAAATGATTCCATGATCCCAGATGTATCCCAGTCACAGAATCTGTATGTTAGACATACCTAGCTCCATGCTGGTGTCTCATAAGAGCAGACTGTGATGATTTCCAAAAAATACACTTTAAACAGTTGTACCTTGTTATTGTGAAGGTACACAATTAATAAATTTTCATAATTAATTATTCTTGCTCTTCTCACCATTCTCTATGCACTTGCATATACTGAAATATTCCTGTTAAAGTGTTTGCCCTTCGCTGCATTACATCCTCCTGATCTCTGCAGTTTCAATTTCACTTTTTCTCACAAGATAAGAGTTTTTTTTTAATATTAATTACAATGCATAATTCAATGTTTTGTATAATCTGCCAGAAGTTTTGTTCAGTTTTACATTGTGGCTCTATCACAGATATAAAAGAAGTGTGAATCTGAATTTTAAAAACATAGTCAATGAACTTTCTGACATCAGATAACTTAAAATGCTTTCCTTAGTGCTACTCACTGTCCTATGAGATATTCTTTGAGTAGTTTTCCTTTGAGAGCACACTGACTGCCAATAAAATTTACCTTCAGGGATCTCTTTTTTCTGGTGATAGAGATTAGATGCTTGTAACTGGTTCATGGCAAAAGATAAGAAGTATTTGTTATGGGCTCTCTTTCTACTTGTGAGAAGGAGATTTGTAATAGAATGTCTATTTTTGACTTTGAAAATAAGCTTTTTGATTGTTGAGTTTGGATTTGGTAGCAGTTTCTTCATAACTGATTTACAGGAGAATAGGGAGAATCAAGAGAGGAAGTTATTACTGCTGTTAGAAGGTATTGTTTTTCCATGGCAAGCAATTGACCTTTGCATGAGTGAGTATATTGTGATTATAAGATTGAAAGATATATTGCTAATTATGCGTGTTATGTTACTAATGCAGTAATTTCTCTTTGTTTTGTTCTTTCTTTTTCACTCCAGGAAAAACAGATCAGCAATGAGGAAGATCATTTGAGAAA